AGAATAGAACCGAACAGAACCGAACAGAACATGGAATGAATAGAGAATAGAATAGAACAGAACAAAACATGGGATGACTAGAGAAGAAAACAGAACAGAATATGGAATGAATAGAGAATAGAACCGAACAGAACCGAACAGAACATGGAATGAATAGAGAATAGAATAGAACAGAACAAAACATGGGATGACTAGAGAAGAAAACAGAACAGAATATGGAATGAATAGAGAATAGAACCGAACAGAACCGAACAGAACATGGAATGAATAGAGAATAGAATAGAACAGAACAAAACATGGGATGACTAGAGAAGAAAACAGAACAGAATATGGAATGAATAGAGAATAGAACAGAACAGAACATGGAATGAATAGAGAATAGAACAGAACAGAACATGGAATGAATAGAATAGAATAGAACCGAACAGAACATGGAATGAATAGAGAATAGAATAGAACAAAACATGGGATGACTAGAGAAGAAAACAGAACAGAATATGGAATGAATAGAGAATAGAACAGAACAGAACATGGAATGAATAGAGAATAGAACAGAACAGAACATGGAATGAATAGAATAGAATAGAACAGAACAAAATATGGGATGACTAGAGAAGAAAACAGAACAGAACACAACAGAAGATTGAGACATCTATCACTCATCAATGAAAAAAACAACAACCATTGAATTGATCAAAGCTAATTTTCTATAGGATAAAATTCCCAACTTTTAATCAACCGGTGCTTCTCTGGCTTCACAACCTGAGGAGACACCTTTTCTCTCACCAACTAACCAGTGGTGGGATTCAACATTTTTTTACTACCAGTTCTGTGGGCGTGGCATGGCTTGGTGGGCGTGGCTTGGTGGGTGCGGCAGGGAATGGATACGATAAAATCCCCATTCCCTCCCAATCAGCTGGGACTCAGGAGGCAGAGAATAGATGGGGGCGAGGCCAGCTAGAGGTGATATTTACCGGTTTTCTGAACTACTCAAAATTTCCGCTACCAGTTCTCCAGAACTGGTCAGAACCTGCTGAATGTCCCCTCTGCAACTAACCCATCACCATCTCCAACACCCCAAGTTCCAGTATCACATGGACTATAAATCCCGCAAAGCAATACTCATTTTCAAACCATTGTACTGAGGACGTCGTGCTCGAGTCTGAGATGAAATGTCTCCAAAAAAAACCCCACATAATCTCTACTTGTTTCACCCCGAGCCCAGTTAATTCCAACTAGAAGTACATACAACCAACTGGCCACTGTTCCCCCAAAAATTAGAATAACAGAATTGGAAAGGATCTTAGAGGTCTTCTGCTCAAGCCGGAGACCCTATGCCATTTCAGAGACATGGTTGTCCAATCTCTTCTTGAAAGCCTCCAGCGATGGAGCACCCACAACTTATGGAAGCAAACTGCTCTACTTGTTAATTCTCTTCACCGTTGGGAACTTCCTCCTTAATTCTAAGTTGCTTCTGTCCTTGATAAGTGTCCATCCATTGATTCTTTTCCTGCCTTCAGGTCAGGGGTGGGTTTGAAAAAAAAATAGCAACTGATGCTCCGCCCAGTTGCTGGTGGGTGTGGCCATGAGGGTGTGGCCTACTCGGCCTTCTCATGGCAGTGGGGAGGCATTTTCACTCTCCCCGGGCTCCAAAAGGTTTTTCGAGCCTCCCAGAGGGTGAAAACAGACTCCACGAGCTGTGGAGGTCCTTCAGAGGCTGGAAATGGGCCCGTTTCCAGACTTCCGGAAGTTCCGGTAAGCCCATTTTTCACCCTTGCCAAGCTCTGGAGGCTTTTCCCAAGCCTCTGGGAGGGCAAAAATGGCCTCCCAAGGTTCCGGAGGCCCTCTCAGAGCTTATGTGTGAGCCCTGTACTTCCTGACCACGTGGAGACTTCTGAGAGGGGAGGGGCAGGGTGGAAGGGGCCAGCCGATCCTTGGAACATCCGGTTTGGCGAACCAGATGCAAAATTAGCATTTCGTTCGCCTGAACCGGTGCGAACCGGCTGAATCCCAGCCCTGCTTCAGGTGCTTTGGAGAAAGTGTGCACTTTATTGCTGTTGTGGCTTTGTGAGTGCGTGCGTGAAAACGATTTTCCAGGCGTTCTCTTGTTTTTTTATTTGTCCTGGGAATTTATGCACCATTCTCACATTCAGGCTAAACTGTGTACTGATTTTAAAAAAAAAATGAAAGGAGAGGAGAGGAGAACCTGGGGCTGAAATGTGGAGGGGGGGAGTGATGTTTAAACCTCCCACCAATTATCTCTTCTTTCAAACTTCGTAGCCTCAAAGGTTTAACTGTGGATCACTCAGAATACCCTGTTAGCTAGAAAAAATTGCAACCACAGGAGAATGGAGGGAGATGACCAGTGACTACAGTTTCTTCCTTAGTGTTTTTTCTCCGTTGTCTAACTTTAGGTTGGAATTTCCTTCCTTCCTTCCTTCCTTCCTTCCTTCCTTCCTTCCTTCTTTGTCTCCTTTTTCCTTCTTCCCTTCCTTCTTTGTCTCCTTCCTTTCTTTTTTGCCTCCTTCCTTCTTTCTGGATGGTGGGGAAGAGAAGGATTTATACGCCTTGCAGACAGCTGGTCATTTGCATCCTTTTAGAGGTTCGTTGAGGCCACTTGGAGATTTTATCTGTGCCCTTAAGGTCACCTGACTGGTGCAAATGGTTCCTGTAGTCTGCAATTTTTCCTCTGGGAATCTATTCCTTCTCCCACACCATTCCGAGGGTGCTCATCCCAAATTGCATAGCTAAAAGTCTCCATCTTCCAGGTCATGGTTGTCCCAAAGGTGCTTTTTCAGGAGGCAACTGGACTTTCTGTTTTTTTTCTCTGAAGACGTTTCACTTCTCATCCAAGAAGCTTCTTCAGCGATGAAGGGCATACGCGTGGGAACTAAACTAGAGCGAAGGCTCACATGCCATCACAGAGGGTGCTACATGCCATCTCTGGCACCCGCGCCATAGATTCGCCATCACGGTTCTTTTGCCTGTGGCTTTTGCACGATCTTCTCCTTCATAAATCTGGTTCCGATTTTTGTTCTTCTCCTAAACTCATCCACCTTAGAGGTCATCTGTCTCCACACTCCATGCCTCTCTTGTTGACCATCTGAGCGGAATATATATCCCAGGCACGTGGCTCAACGCAATAAATCACCCGTGCAAAATGTTACTTCCAATCAGGATTAGCCCACATAATTCATGTGGTGCGCCACGGAGAAGGAATGTGATATAGCAAAGGACTTTAGCTGCAACTCACTGAAGCAAGGAAGACAGTATGGGGCAAATCACAGAAACATAATGTGCAGGAATGGAGAAAGTTCAATTCATTGAGCCAGAGCCTCAAAAATGTTTCAGTGTAACACTGTAGAGATTCTCAGCCATTCTCAGTTTCCTCCTTGAATTCTGTGGATCCCTATCTAACTCCTATCAGCTGAGCAGATTCCTGTTCATAGGCGTTTAGCAATGAATCTTTAATCGAATCTTCACACGTGAACCTGGTCTGTCATGCCTGATACTTTAGCTCAGGGGTCGGCAATCTGCGGCTCTGGAGCCGCATGTGGCTCTTTCGTCCCTCTGCTGCGGCTCCCTGTCGCCGGTCAGCTCCACAATTGATAGGGCTTTCGGTTAGGGCAGGTGGAGGAAAAAGGACGCCACACTAGGAGGAGACTCTATGGTGTGGGAACCAAACTTCTGGTCAGCTCCAGGTTTGAACGGGGGACTTCCGGTTAGGACATTTGTGGCTCTTTGAGTGTTTAAGGTTGCCGACCCCTGCTTTAGCTACTTACACGTAATTGACATGTAATTCTTTTTCACACATAGTTAAGCCTTGAAGGTGCAACCCTGTGACGTAAATTCATATCTGACGTTTGGGTTCAGGATGTCATGACATAATGCCCGCAGATCATTTTTTATCTGTTGTGTTATGACATCCCCCTGTTCCTTTAATTGGCACAAAAAGTAGGCCTCTTTTTTTGAAGCCCGGTCAATTCAGGTTTTTCACAAGGCCGTTTTTTGGTGTTTTTTTTGAAAGGTTGACAATGGGTTTCTTTATATTTTCAGCCACATAAATAGGAGGACCCAATTTGAAAATCCTGTTTTGGAAGCCAAAAGGAAGTTACAACACCGTGCCATGCCCAACGCAGAACTTGGAATCAAGCCATTGCCAGTCCAGAGTTTCCGAGGTACACCATCACTTCAGTGCACACAATTCAGACGGGAAACCGATTCTAGGGAGTTCTGTGTGATACCTGTGACAGTTTTGAAGACGTGAATATAGGAAACTCTATTTTTTTTTTCTCCTCTTCCAAAAAAAAACATTGAAAGATTGTGGCTAATTATCACAATTCCTAAAATTCCAAAATTCGTAGGAATGGAGTATAAGTACAGTTTTAAATACCATGTTTACCTGAAAATAAGACCTCCCCAGATAATAAGCCCTCCCCAAAAATAAGCCCTCCCTGAAAATGTTGCAACACAGGAGCAGCTATGAGGTGACCATGCTCGCCGTCTCCTGCACTTCAAAAATAATAAGACCTCCCTGAAAATAAGGCCAAGTGCTTATTTCGGAGGGGCAAAAGAAAATAAGACCCTGTCTTATTTTCAGGAAAACATGGTAGCTTTCTGAAATGTTGCCCTGGTAAGCCTTTCTAACTCAACCTGGGATTCTTTTTCCAATCTATTTAAAACAAAGCTATAACTGGTTATCTGGTAAGATTTGTTTTGCTAGACAGAATGAGAAAGATCTACTTCAAGAGAGTTACCCAGATGCAACTACAGAAGGGCTGTTGAGTCCCAGGGGGAGCACAAGCCATCTTAGGAAGCAAAATCACCAAATTGTGGTTAACTAAAACTCTATCTTTTTTTAAGCAAACACGTGACTTCCAATGGGTAGATAACAATAGCAATAGCATTTACATACCACTTCGCAGCGCTTTTGCAGCCTTCTCTAAGTGGTTCACAGAGTCAGCATATTGCCCCCAACAATTTGGGTCCTCATTTTGTCGTCCTCGGAAGGATGGATGGCTGAGTCAATTTTGAGCTGGTCAGGACCGAACTGCTGACTGCGGGCAGAATTAGCCTGCAATACTGCATTTTAACCACTGCCCCACCACGACACAGATAGCAATAGCAATAGCAGATGTATATACCCCTTCACGGTGCTTTGCATCCCTCTCTAAGCTGTTTACAGAGTCAGTGGTTTACAGAGTCAGCCCTTGCCCTCAACACTCTGGGTCCTCATTTTATTGACCTTCGAAGGATGGAAGGCTCAGTCAACCTTGAGCTGGCAAGAATTGAACTGCTGGCAGTGGGCAGAATTAGTCTGCAATGCTGCATTCTAATCACTGTGCCACCAGGGTTCTTGGATGACTCTCAGTTGGTCCTTTGGGTCCCGTTGTCCTCCGTACACAACTGATACTAAATTGTGTGTGTTCTCTTTTCCTTTATTTGCAAACATGGAGGATGAGATAAAGAAGGACCAAGATTGATACAGGGAAAAGGGGGGGGATCATTCATTTTTTTTCCAAACTCCAATCACACACAGGAGAGACACTGATCTGGGGACCACGAACAGCTTTATTTGTTTGTTTTAGATGACCTAAGGAAAAAAAAGGATGTTTTTTTAATTTCTTTTTCTAACTCCTGTCCTAGTTCTGATCAAATGTTTGATCTACACAGATCTTAGCAACCAAATGGCACTTGGGGTAAAGGGCACAAGGCAATTTACCTGGCCTTGATTATCTGAAAAGATAATAGCAATAGCACTTGGATTTATATACCCCCTCCGCAGTGCTTTATAGCCCTCTCTGAACGATTTACAAATTCAGCATCTTAGTTTATAGTTATAGTTAGTTAGTTTATTAGTTTTGTATGCCGCCCACTCCCGAAGGACTCCGGGCGGCTTACAATAAAAAGGGAAGGGGATAAATAAGACAATACAAAATTTAAAATACAACAACATTCACAATTAAATAGCAATACAGCAATAGCAGTAGACTTATATACCGCTTCATAGGGCTTTCAGCCCTCTCTA